CAAAGTATTTCTGCAAACAACAATCTAGAAATTTACAGACATCTGTATTATAATATTTTAATTGGTCGTAGGTGGCATTTATAATTTTAGTCAGTGATTAAAGTTTCAGTAATGACAGTTGAACATCTATATACGACATCCACAGTAGATTTTCAACATTTGGTTGTATTTTAGTCGAGAATAATTTGTGTTCTATTGTGAAAGTAAGATTAATTGTGTATAATGAATTTTTTGATTGTAAAAATTTATAACTGGAGACTTAATTTAAAGTGCTTTCTGAATTGACATTTATTTTTATGCAGTCAGTTATACAGTGATCTAAGGTCATAGGGGGCAGTTAGAAGATCAGTAATTAACATTCACATAATATAAGTGCTATTTATACTCCAGTCTTACTAATAATTTGTAGTGGCTGCTAACAAGTTGGATATCTGACAGCTTTGAATAACATTTTCTTACAATGCCTGTGTGCCAGTGAGAAACAAAATGCCCGGAGAGAAAAGGGCTAAGAAGAAGAGAAATAACATTATCTCAAAACTACAGTCTTCTCCTAAATAAACTAGTTCATATCATTTGTAGTTTATTTGTACAAGTAATTTTATTTGTAGTACTAAGTTGTGAGTATAATATTAAGATTACCATTTCTAAACTGTTTAATTTAAAAAATAAAAGCAAGCTACTTCAGGGATGTTAGTTTTGTCCTAAGTGTAAATTTAGGTATTAATAACTTAATAACCATGAGAGTTATTTAAATCCCTTTTTATAGGCCGGGTGTGGTGGCTCACGCCTGTAATCCTAGCACTCTGGGAGGCCAAGGCGGGAGGATCGCTCAAGGTCAGCAGTTCAAAACCAGCCTGAGCAAAAGCGAGACCCTGTCTCTGCTAAAAATAGAAAGAAATTAATTGCCCAACTAAAAATATATAGAAAAAATTAGCCAGGCATGGTGGTGCATGCCTGTTGTCCCAGCCACTTGAGAGGCCGAGGCAGTAGGATTGCTTGAGCCCAGGAGTTTGAGGTTGCTGTGAGCTAGGCTGACACCACGGCACTCTAGCCAGGGCAACAGAGTGAGACTGTGTCTCAAACATACATACATACATACATACATACATACATCCCTTTTTATAATTAACACATTCCCTGGAACTACTTATCTGATACCAAAGAGCAGGATTTGGGTTATGAGCTTGTCATAGACATTATCAAAAAAGATTTAACTAATTGCTGTACTGCAAAAATTTTGCTTTAAAACAATCTTTTCTATAAATTATTCCATAGTACAGGCCCTGTGTTTTTTTAAAAAAAAAAAAACAAATATAGGGTTAAAATTCCCCCAAAAAATAGAGAAATAGAATATTTCTATTGTTATTGCTATTATTATTTTATATATCTGGGTTTCCAGATTACACTTTCCAAGAGTTTTTGTTCACTAGGCAAAAGTAGTGTTAGGCTGTGCACTGCTCCCAGGAATTGAGCCAGTGATGGACACAGTTAACACAGAAGGATAATCATGCATTTCTGGTCTGTTTTCCCTCTCATTTTAAAGGAGGAGAGCACCAACATTAAATAGTTATATGAGATTGAAGCACGTACCAAGATTTTTTTTAATCTGGGTAGAATTTGGTAGTTTTCTTACTACTTATTAACATTATTCATCACAACTTTATCTGACCCTTAATCTTAACCCTAGTTTTGATTTTAAAGTTCCTTTCTAATTTATTCTAAATTCTTACCTGAGGTTCAGGCCCTCTTGGGTCTAACACTTGGCTTTGGAGTTGGGACAACTTGGGATAACAAATGAACACTTCAGTTTTTCTTTCCACTGCCAACTAGAATAGCCTTCCTGAAGTGGGCTATCTTGCTTTACCAGTGGGTTTGTTTATTTGGAAACATTTTTCCTATTAATCTTACTAGCTTCTCCAATCATTGTACAGGATGAAGAGCCTGCTAAGTGTGGAAACTCCCTTCTCTTTCCTATTTCCTGAATTTAACTTTTTCTGTCTTCTTTCAGCAAAAGTTAAAGCTAGAAAAGGAGGTCAGACAGTATCATGCAGCTATGGCCCCATACAGAGTACAAAAGCCTAGCACTGGTCTGTTGCTAGGTACCCACTTTTCTTTGCATTGTCTTTCTTGAAGAACAATGGCCTTTGGCTATAAATGAAAATCCCACATCAAGCCTGTGGGAAGGGGGAATGATTTTTCCTACCTCTCCTTACTCTTAGTCCTTCTTTTCTTCTATTTTCTAGGTCGACTTAAAATATTTATCCCTAAAGGGATTCCATGATATCATTCCATTTTTTCATCCAGAGACCCTGATGCTTGTATTTTGGGGTTTTGTACTAGTCTATCATGTTTTCTTTCTCCACAATAGTTCTATCCTTCTTTTGACCCTAGAAAAAGAAAATTCCTTTTTAAATGAACCTCAGGTCCATCCCCTTTGGTCTTAGCAATCTCTATAGCTTCCTTCTTTGCTGAATTGGGGCAGACTCTACACTTCTGCCTTTTGTCCTTAAATGCATTTTTTGGGTCTGTTTTTCTCAGTTCTCCACATTGGGAAAACTCCTTCGATTTCCCTGGTCTCTCCTCTCTCCAGTCTTGCTTCTGTCTGTCCTCTAAATCCTCTGTAGCTGCCCATAGTTGTTCTCTTTATCCTCTTCTCACCCAGAAAATCTTGAGGCTGGCAGGATTTCATTCCTTCCCAGCAATACAATCTGTGTCATACATTTGCATTTTTTTTTTATCATCATGATCTTATGGTCTGTCACTACATTTAAAATGCTCAAGGCCTTCTATATACATTTTAATCCATGAGCCCTAAGAAGGATTTACCCTTGGAAAGAAAACACTGTCTCATTCGCCCCATATCATCATAGTACAGTGCCTAGTCCATGCTTAAGCTGCTGAATGGATTTTGAATTTTACTCCCAGAATGTACGTATCAAAAAATTGAGATGATTAAGTTAGGACTTTCCTCTTGTATCCCTCCTAATTTTATTTAATTAAAAGATAGGGCCAGTGTGGTGGTTTATGCCTATAATCCTAGCACTTTGGGAAGCCAAGATGGGAAGATCACTTGAGGCCAGGAGTTTGAGACCAGCCTGAGCAAGAGCAAGACCCTGTCTCTACAAAAACTAGAAAAATTAGCCAAGCATGGTGGTATGCGACTGTAGTCCTAGTGACTGGGGCGGCTGTGGCAGGAGAATAGCTTGAACCCAGGAGTTCAAGGTTACAATGAGCTATGATGAGCCCCTGTCTCCAAAAACAAAAGGAAAGAAAGAAAGATAAATAGATACTCAGGCTTGTCAAAATTGCCTTTTGCTACTAATTTGACCATCTCTGATTATGTATAAAGATATATTTTTAGTTTTAACATCAACACATCAATAAAAACTAAATTTAATCTTTTTTAATGACAAATATCTATTGTTAAAAATATAGAGAGTAAGCCTAACTACCTGAGGCTGGAATTTTTGCAATAATTTGGTTTGTAAGTTTTGAAATGCACTTCATTGTTGTTGAAGCGAGGCCCCAGATTACAGTTATTCCAGTTGATGCACAGGAGATTGTTCTTTGGCAGTTTCCACTCATCCTACTGATGCTTTATTTACCAGGTTGGCTGCTGGGGTTTATATATATTTCCTCTAACAAGTTCCTGATGCTTTATAAAAATGAAGTGTTTCTAAAAAAATTTTTAAACTTAATTAACTGAAATAAGTGAATAGAAGTTGCACATTTTTAGTAAAAAGGTAAATCTTTACACATGAATAGTCCCAGCATGGTAACAGTAGGAGAGAATATCTGCATTCTCTTAGTGCCACTACTTTCGAAACTGGTGTGCATGGAGGCACACAAAACTATGGGATAAACAGAATACATGGATCTAGAGTGTCATTTTTATTTGGATGAGAAGTATTTTATTTTTTATGTTAAACATAAAGATGTATGAAAAATAAATAAAAATTTATTATACAGGCGAATTTAGAGATCATATGAAGTTTTAAGTTAAAATAGGAATTTCAGAAAAATGGTTTGCTTGTGGCCGAGTGCTCAATATATATTAATATTCACCCCTTTCTCTTATTAAACTTCATTTTCTTTCTTTCTTTATTTTAATTTTTTGAGATAGAGTCCTGCTCTATTGCCCAGGCTGGAGTGCAGTGACACAATCATAGCTCACTGCAGCCTCAAACTCCTGGGCTCAAGTGATCCTCCCACCTCAGTCTCCCGAGTAGCTGGGACTACAGGCGTGTGCTACCACATCTGGCTAATTTTTTCTTATTTTTTGTAGAGACAGGGTTTCACTGTGTTGCCCAGGCTGGTCTCAAACTCCTAGGCTCAAGCTTTCCTCCTTCCTCAGGCTCCCAAGTCACTTGGATTATAGGCATAAGCCACCACACTGGGACTAGTCTTTATTCATTTTATAGGAGAAAAAACAAGTTCACGGAGGTCACACAGGATCAGGATTAGAAAAGGACTGCTGTCACTGCCCATGGTCTTTCCTTTTTACCAATCCTTCTTAAACTTTTCCTTCCCTAGAGAACCTGTAGTATAATATTATCTGCCTGCCTCCAAGAAACCCCATGTTTTTGAAAGATGTTGCCTACCAAACTGCATTGATTAAATATTTTACTGTATTTTGGTTAATCAAAAACAAAGGAACTGCAAGTTGGAGTTTCTGATTAATACAAGCTAACCAGCTAGCCACACTGAGTTGATATAATGTTGGCAGAGAAAGCCTTTTTGGGGGGAAATGGGCATGCTACCTAAAGCTTTAGGAAATGAAATGATGAAAATGGTTTACAGTTCAACATTATTACTATCTTAGAGCTTTGAAGGTATGGGGAGCCCTCGGAACAACCAGGACCCCAGGTTCTGAATCACTATTCAGAGGTCTGTTGCCTCGAAACTTAAAGTCTGATCGTTACTGGATAACTAAAAAGAGGAGGCCTGTGTTTCAGAGTGAGCATGGTGAACTGATACCTTTCTTTTGCTTTTGCATACAGATTGAATATGAAAGGAAAAAGAAAGAAGATGGAAAACGAGCCCGAGCGGATAAACAACACGTTTTAGACATGCTATTTTCAGCCTTTGAGAAACATCAGTATTATAACCTTAAGGATTTGGTAGACATAACAAAACAACCTGTGGTATGTATATTTCCATATTGATCCTTTAACTATGTCCTACTTCATCAACATGTCATTACTGAAGAAAAGTGTGTTGTAATCAATATGCTTAACTTTACATTTTATCTACACTAATGACAAATTTTATGTTAACACTCAGAAAAGATGTCTTCAAGCAGCCATTTGGTTTTTTTTGTAACATCGGCTTTATTATTTTAGATTTCAAATATGTGCAGTAACAACAATTCCATATAAAGAAAAGGAATTATCCTCCTTTTTTATCCTTGACATTGAGCTTGAAGCCTTTATTTATTTCATTTCTATTCTTTCTTTTGTTTCCCTATCTCCCTCTGAAAAAGCTCAATTGCTTCCCTGTTTTTTGAAAATGTGCCTCATAGAAGAATCACAAACTTTAAAGAGTCCTACTGTCCTTGTCTTGTGGACTATTTTCTGTGGATTTTTTTAAAAATTAGAATCTGTCTGGCACTATATCCTTTTAAACTTGAGCTGAACTGCCCTTTTTCAAATTATGCTTGTTGAGATTGTGGTTGGTTTGGCCTATTCTTCATTTTTAAGGAAAAATGTAATAAATTGATATTTTTAAAAGTTTATCTTTGTTCTATAAATAGTCATTATTTTTTCTTCTCTAGACTTTTGTGCCTGTTTACCAACAATTTGTATTACTCATCCATTTAAAGTGCTGGTAACAATAAGGCATCCAAATCTTTTCTGTAGTCTTTGAGTCACATTTTTTTTTTCCATTCAGCTTTCTTACACCAAATGTCATCAAAATATCAGATTGAATTATAACAGTATTTACTTAATGTTAAAAGTTGGATGGAAACCTTTTCTCTTGTTTCCTTTACCATTTTGTCCGCTCTGCCAGTATACTCAAGAATATGTTGATTATTACTACTCCATTTATTTGATTCAGAATATTTAAGATTTTTTAAAAATTTAACATAAGCATATAACCTATTTATTAAAGGGCCTGGTGTATTTTTTCTGAGTTATGCAAAGCTTTAGGAAATGATATATGAAACTTCGATGTTGATTGTACAGTTTCTTCTGCAGAGATTTCTTTACTATTGTGTATCAACCTTTTACTTTTTATTAAGAAATTAATTTAAATTCCAAAAGATCTAAATACATTTTTTAATACAGAAGAAGAAAGTGCTCATGCTGCAGTATTATCAACTCATCTTAATGACTTCACTCCCTTTGGCATCAAAGCCTTAGAAACGGCATTCCAAGCTAGATAAAAAAACTTGAAATTGAATAATTCATTAGCTAAGCTGTGTTTCTTCTGATTTTAATGAAGTTTACCTTTGTATTTATATATATAAATATATGTATATGTAAAGGCCATTCCAGAAACTCTGAAAGCAGACAAGAGATTATAATGGAGTAAAACACACAACAAAAATTACGTATGGGAAAATAAGCACTTGTAGAAGAGCGTTCATATGATACTTAGGGAAAGCAATTTCTTTGTCTTCACATAGGACATAAGGTTTATTTGTTTTGCATCAAAGAAAAGGGATTACTAGTATATCTTTCAATTTTGGTTCTTCAGATAATTTTTATATGGTGGTACTCAAAGAATCCCAGTGCTCCTTAACTCATGATCAGTGGATAGACTTTAGGGCAGCAGTCCCCAACCTTTTTTGGCACCAGGGACCATTTTCGTGAAAGATAATTTTTCCATGGGTGGGGTGGTTTTGGGATGATTTAAGTGTATTACATTTATTGTCCACTTTATTGCTATTATTATGACATTATTAACGTCTCTGCTAATAATAATCTGTGTTTGCAGCCACTCCTCAGTGCTAGCATCATCACCTCACATCATCAGGCATTAGATTCTCTCCTAAGGAGCACAACCTGGATCCCTCGCATGCACAGTTCACAGTAGGGTTCACACTCCTGTGAGAATCTAATGCTGCTGATGATCTGACAGGAGGCGGAGCTCAGGCGGTGATGCCAGCAATGGGGAGCGGCTGTAAATACAGGTGAAGCTTCGTTTGCTCACCCACCATTCTCCTCCTGCTGTGCAGCTGGGTTCCTAACAAGCCATAGACCAGTACAAGTCCTTGGCCTTGGGGTCAGGGACCACAGCTTTAGGGGATCCATTAACTTCCTAAATATGTGGAAAAACATAACAGATTTTTCTGAAGAATAGATCCATAGTTTGTATCAGATATTCTCATAGACAACCACTGATACAGAAACTAAAATGGTTTTATTATTAAATATTTAGAGATTGGCCAGGTGCGGTGGCTCACGCCTGTAATCCTAGCACTCTGGGAGGCTGAGGCAGGTGGAGTTCGAAACCAGCCTGAGCAAGAGCGAGACCCCATCTCTACTATAAATAGAAAGAAATTACTTGGTCAACTGATATATATAGAAAAAATTAGCCAGGCATGGTGGTGCATGCCTATAGTCCCAGCTAGTTGGGAGGCTGAGGCAAGAGGATTGCTTGAGCCCAGGAGTGTGAGGTTGCTGTGAGCTAGGCTGACGCCATGGCACTCTAGCCCCGGCAACAGAGTGAGACTCTGTCTCAAAAACAAAAAAGAAAAGAAAATATTTAGAGATTAAATTGCCTCAGCAAGCATAAGATTCTTTTTTTTTTCCTTCAAAAATCCAGCTGCAGGCATAAGATTCTTGAAAGCAGAGTTGTATGTTATCTCTATCCCTAAATATTCATATATCCCACAGCATAAACATAGTATTAGTAGAAATTCAGTAAATATTTAATGAATTGATTTGAAACAAAGGAAAATTCTCAGTCTCCAAGGATCACCATATTTTAACAGGCCTCATGTCATTTCTGGTGGAGGTGGGGGACAAAGGCCCATAGTCAAGAAAGTGTGGAATGCCTTTGCCCGGCTGGAGGTAGGCCTGAGGAAGAGTTACCCCATCTAGAGGAGAGGGCAAGAAGTGTCAGCACAGATGCCAGTCCTGCATTTACCTCAGTGGGATCTGAGGAAGTCACTTGAATTCCTCAGATTGAGGGAGTTGGACTAACTAATCTTTATGATCCCTTCCAGCTCTAAATCTGTGATTCTTTCCCTCTCCTATTTCATCTCCTCTCCAACCCCTTCTCACATTTGAATTGATTAGCAAAGTCCATTGACCTAGAAAGAGAATTGCCAAAGCCTCGTTCTCCTCCCAAGTAGGTAACTTTCCCCTTTAAGAGGTTCCCAGGACATGAGTCTGTACTAATGGTCATCAGTACACCCCTACTGATTTCATTTTAGTTTGAGCAACACCCAAGAGAATTGAAGAATCTATTCTAGTATAGAAATCAGTGATCCAGGAAAGGGGGGCTTCCTGGTATAGTGGGAAGAACACTGGATTTGGAGTAATGGAATCTCAGTTCTGGACAAGGTGCTTAAGTACATTTAATACATTATTTAATATTTAATTTACTTAACATATGGCATACTTAATATAAAATTCACCAGTATGTTTAAAATGTTATGAAATTATAATATGTAAATGTGTTTAAAATAATACCTAGTTTATTGGATCCTTCTGACAAAAATAATGTTTGTGAAAGATACTTTGTCAACTGCAAAGTATTTTACTAATATTTATCATTAGTAGTAAACAAATTTTTGAGCCCTGTGTAAAAGAGAAGTAAAGAGATCTTATTAGTGTCAATCAGTTCTCCAGCATATGCATTGAATGGCATTCTCACATGGTAGCCTTTCATTTTCTGTTGTCTCCCAGTGCCACTTTTTTGTTGTTGTTGTTTTTTGTTTGATTGTTTTTTTAGAGTCACCCCAGGTAGAGTGCAATGGTATCATTATAGTTCACTACAACCTTAATTTAAACTTCTGGGCTCAAGTGATCCTCCTGACTCAGTCTCCCAAGTAGCTGGGATATAGGCACATGCCATGATGCCCAGCTAATTTTTCTATTTTTAGTAGAGATGGGGTCTCGCTCTTGCTCATGCTGGTATAGGAACTCCTGAACCCAAACAGTCCTCCTACCTTGGCCTCCCAGAATGCTAGGATTACAGGCGTGAGCCACTGCCCCTGGCCCCAATGCCACTTTTGAACACAAGTTTCTAACCATGAAGTCTATCACTCTAACATATCTTTGTTATTAGGAGTACTGATACCATCTGCTTTCTGACCTTTACAATGTCATATTTGACATTTTATTTAGTGAACTAAAGTATTTTCTTGTTTTTCCAGTTCCTCTTCTGCATTAGTTTTTCTTTCTAAAAACTTCAATTTCTACAAGCAAAATTATTGATTAGAGGAACTGTCATTACAGCCAGTCTTTTTCTCTGATTCACTAGTATGTGACTTGCATAAAGCAACCAGAAAGAGTGAAAGTTACTCATCAAGGGCAAATAAGCCAATTTGAAAAGGCCAAGCTTTGGTAATTGACATAAAGTCTGGAACATGGTATCCATTTCACAGGGTGTTGTCTTAGTTCATTTTCTGCTGCTTAGATTACCTGAAACTGGGTAATTTATAAAGAAAATGAATTTATTTCTTACAGTTACGGAGACCAAGAAGTCCAAGGTTTTAAGAGACGGGTTCTCACTGTGTTGCCCAGGCTGGAGTACAGTGGTGCAATGATAGCTCGCTGTAGCCTTAAACTCCTGGCCTGAAGCCATCCTCCTAACTAAGCTTCTGGAGTAGCTGGGATTACAGACCTGCACCACCATGCCCAGCTGATTTTTTAATTTTTTTTTGTAGATACAGTGTCTTACTGTATTGCCCCAGCTGGTCTTGAACTCCTAGCTGAAACAATCTTCCCACTTTGGCCTCCCAAAGTTTTGGAACTACAGGCATGAGCCACCACTCCAGCCCACAGCCAATATTTTATGGTTTAACTTTTGGCTTTTTTCCCCCTTAAAAGTGGAAGATTAGAGGAAGCCTGTTATTTCTCCCCAGCAGTCTTTGATTTTTAACCTTGGATGTGTTATGTCTAGTTTTTTTCATATTTTGTTATGTCTGTATAATAGAAGCATATGCAGCATTTCCTTTGAAGTTACAAAC